ATTATAGTTATCAAATAAAAAATTCAAATATAGATTGTATAACGAATCGCATGTGATACATCAAATCTATATTTTTCTCACAAAAATGTAAAAAAAAGATGAAATAATTTATAAAAACATTTCGAAGTACTGAATCAAGTCTATTTCGGAAGATGTTATTATACACTCAAATTTTACTCCTAACTATGCTCATACTAATTTTCCTAATATTTATTGTATTTTTTGCGTTAATGCTCTTGCTCTTCCACAAAAGAAATAAACAGTAACGACAGTTAAAAAAACAAATATTTTTCGTTTAAAACTATTCTATCTCTGTTGAGTAAATTTCTTGTCTTTGTATATAGAAGCCAACATACCTAATCTTTATGAATTTAAATAATTTACCTGATGAAGTTCTTTTTTACTCAAATGATCAATTTTATCAATTTATTGAAAGCTGCTTAGGTGCTGATGAAATGAATTTATTGAAAGTACAATCAATAAAAAATATTAGAACGTTAATAAAAATACCAGATATTTTTTCTGCTCTTACTATTAAATGTAAAGAACTTGCTGATCTCAAAAGTCGTTTATGTTTCGTTGATGAAGATAATAATAGTATAATTATTAAAGCAGGTGTTAAAACGGACTTTGATAATTTAATAGCCATTCTGAAGGAGAAGGATTACAAATATTTAAAAGGAACGAAAAAGTCAAAGTCATCATCTTCTTTTACCACAAACTCTCTTGTTTCGAATACATCTGTATTAAATACAACCAATTCAAATATTATCGATTCACCTCTAATATCAACACCTACAACAGCAATTAATTTGACGTCAATAAATGATTATATACAAGTGATTGTTGATAGTATTGAAAAATACTCAATCAATACTTTTGGCAATATTATTTTAAAACATGATGATGATTATATGATACACTTAAATCAATCAGATACATTTATTGATGGATACATTAAATGTCGTTGTAAATCAACAATCAAACTTCCATTTCGTTTAAATACTAAATCATTTCAACTGTCACACTATTTTAAACATTTGAAGCATAGTCTTTGTCCTATGATGAAAAAGAAAAGACAAGAATTGAAGAAAAACAGTAATTTATCACACAATATTAATCAAAATAATATTCTTCCTAGCCTTGAAGATGAAATTAATTTTGATGAAGACAGTATGGATAGTTTAAATGAAAATTCACAAATTACCACCAATAAGCCAATATCAACCTATTCTGATTCTTCAAAGGAAAAGAGACCAACATCATCATTATTATATAGTACAAAAAGAACAAAAATATCTTAGTCTCTAACTAAATTTAATTTCGAATTTTTTGTATATACTTCATATATATCTTTCTTTATAAAGTTTACTTGAATTTATAGACTTATTTTAAATGATTAATGTACATCAGCTTATTTTTGTAGTTCTTTATTTATGTAAAATTTAACTTTCAAATAAAGTTGGAATTAAGTTTGTTGAAACATTCGTTCGTCTCCAACAGTTCAATTAAAAACTAATTGATTTTCTAAATAATAAATCTCTTGCAGATATTTTTTTCTTCATCTTATGGTTATGTCTAGTTGGGAGCAAGATTTATTACCATTTCTTGATGAACTTCCAACATATAGTGATGCAGTTTTTTATAGTTTCGTCAAAAACTTTGTTGGTGTTATTGAAGGTGATATTCTTGAGATACAACGAATAAAGAATGTTCGAATTTTATTACAAATACCAGATGTATTTTCATTTTTTCAAATAAATAATAAAGATATACTCAAGTTAAAAGAACAAGCTTGTTTTATTGATGACGATTCAAGTTATATTGTACGACCAGGAATTCGATCTAATATTGAACAATTTATTGAGTTATTAAAAAATCACTACAAACCAATAATAGAACCCAATCATGCTCAAGGAGAGAATAGTTGTATGTGTGGTTTCCTAAATATTAATAATGGAAATACAGAATATCAATCAAAGTCATTTGTTCATATTTTTGTTAGTAATCTCATGAAAAATATTAATCGATCCAGTAACAATTATCAATTTGATCCTATCGTGAACAAATTTGCATCAGCTTTTAATATATTAGCTGGTCATCAAGCTTATGAGTTTGTTAGAATAAACTTACCAGGTTCTTTACCATCTATCACTACATTAAAGAATTATAATCAAAATATCAATTTATATTTAAATGAAGGAGAATTTAGATTCGATTCTTTAAAACAATATTTAGATTTGATTGATTCAAATCATGTTTTTGCGGTACGTATTTTGGGGTAATATATCATTTGAGAGAAAGACGATGTGATTTGTTTTGTTTAAATCATCATGAACTTATCAGAAGTTGTTAGTATATGAGAACGTTATTAAGAGAAGAAAATTGCTCATGAATTAGATTTCAAAACAAAAGAGAATTCAGCCGATTTCGTTGAACTTCAGTAAATTCCAGTAAATAATGGTGTATTTTTTTCATTAATTTTAACATCAATCAGTATTCACTATAACAGATCAGATTCGACTAAAATTTACCTCTCAGACTAGTAAAAATTACGAGATTTAATTACGATTTTACTTTTCTAGTGTGAGGATTCAACCAGTGTTGTTAGTTCAGTCTCTTATGACAGTAAAACAAATTGTTTCATTGGTTTTGCACCAAAATTAGTAAATGGCTTACCTTTGATCAATCAATTTCAAACAAATAATTTTAATGAATTACAAGAATGGTTTCAAGAATTAGAGAAATCTAAATCAATAAATGCAAATTTAATTGAACCATTATTGAATAAAAATTCTTCGTTAATTCATTCGAGACCGTATATAATTGCTTCTTATGGATCTGATAACAAATATTCAGGTTTGAAATTTTTTTCGTAAATGGATTGATATGTATGTAAATAAATAGGTATTGATGTCCTTCGTAAATGGATTTATATATATAATGAATGCAAAAAAAAAAACATTGTTGTTGTTGGTTTCTCAAGCGATTGCGAAGCAAGATATTTGAAAGCAATGCAAATATCTTTAGGATTGTTTACACACACACCAAACATTGATTTAATAAACGAAAATAAAAATTTACTTCAAATTAATATTCCTACAACTTGGAATTTCTTTTTCATGAAAACAAAGCAAATTTATCTTTGCATGCAAGATGGAATCCATCTTGCAACAAAAATCAGAAATCGACTTTTATCAAGTATTGCAACATTATCTATCAATAATCATCAGATTAATATTAATGATTTGTTTTTCATAATTGACAACTATTCTAAAATTGATCATAACTTAGTGAAATCTGATGTTTTCCCCCATGATCGACAAAATTTCTCTTCCTGTGTAAAAATCACGTCGGATGATGTATTGAATTTATTGAAAGACATGAATGCTAAAGGCACTTATATCTACCTATATTTGTTGAAATTAGTTATCATTACATATATTAAAGCAGATACCGATATCTTCGTACGTTTATACTATGGTTGGATTCTTGCATTTTCATATCGGATGTGGTGGTAAATGAAAAAGAATTTTTCTATTTTTTAAAGTTATTTTACTATTGATTTCTAGGTGTAGTATTCAGCTAGAAGAAACTTACTCTCGACAAGAAAAAGATAATCATTTTATTACTAGAGCTGCATGGTTATCTGTAGAAATTAATATTCATTGTTTAACATCATTAATAATATTAGTATTACAAGGAGTTTTACCATCTTCTTCTCTTCATACTGATCTATTTAGTAGTCAACCATGCGAGAGTACATTTCGTAGTGCTCGTGCTCTATCTGGTACTTTCTCTTCAATAACAAATTTCTCAGTATCTCAATTTCTAAATAAAATCGAAAAAATTTCAATACTTAATCATTTTAAATCCACAGAAGGAGATAATGTTGAATGTCCATTAAAATTTCCAATTCATCATAAGAACAAACATAAGGAGAAAATATCATCTATAATTAGTTTAAGTTCATCATCAACAACAATAAATGATATAGAAAAAATTATCATTAAAGCTTATCATGAAGCAGAAAAAATCATGAACTCCATACACTTATTACAAATTCTAAAAGAAAATGATCTCGATGATATTCAAAAATTAAATTCATATGTTTTCCACCAGCTTGATTCAAAATCTAAAGTTGATTATTGTTACTTCAACGAAATTGATCTTCAAGATAGTGCAGATGATACTAATAATATTCAAACTGATACTGAAAATTCTGAAACAGATGTTCAAGTTGAAGGTTATTATTCAGATGACGATAATCCAGATGATTATCATTTTATAACATCAAAAGAAACCTTCCAAGGAATGAAAATATTTGACAAAATTGATCCAACGAAAAAGAATAATTATTTTCATATTATGGTTAATAATAAACCAAAGTATTTACATAAACAAACGGCAGCACGTCTTTTGACTAGTAATAAAAATTGTTTATCGTCGGACAGATTAACACGAGTACAACAAACAAATAAACAGAAATAATTAGCTTCGATTTCTATTTCATTTTTTTTTCGTTAATTATATATATATACTTGAATAAAATGAACTTAATAATAGTAGACTTATATTTGTAGATGATTTACGATAAGACATACTTCATTTAGCAAATCATTCGAAATTTTACAGGGAATATATACGCTGAGATTTTATCGAGTCCTACTTGATCCTATGGATCCTAATGGATCCTAATGGATCCTGATGGATCCTAATGGATCCTGATGGATCCTAATGGATCCTGATGGATCCTAATGGATCCTGTGAATCCGGATGGATCCTAGGATCCACCAGGATCCGCTTTTTCCCCCTTGCGATAAATAGTTAATTTTTTTCTATTTAAAATAATCTGATCCTGTCGACTTCATTTCGGCTCGGTTGAAATAATATTAAAGAACAAATATAAAATATATTTAATTTCATAATGAATCGAAATATTCTTTTATTTCTTCAGGGGATGCAATAAAAGATATTTATAAGACTTTCAAACGTAATTTTATTATAAATATAATTTTATTATAAATATAATTATTTCATAACAATTATTTCATTTAACTTACTTTTAATTTAATGGCTGAAATAATTGCATTCGGAAGAATATTTCACTTGATCACATAAATTTATTTTTTTTTGTTTAAATTCTAAATGACTATCTCAAACAACATATGCTTCTAACAATTTAATATAGGAAAAAATTTCCTTTATCGAATAAAATATATCTTCTTTTATCTAAAGAAAGAAATTGATTTTAAAACTAAAAAGAACTAATACATCAAAACTATACCAAATGAAACCAACCCATCATTTTGCAAAAATACTATACCAAGAAAAAAATTATTATTGCATACTTAACAACAAACACAGGCGGGTTCCCGTACCTGGGAACGTGGAACGCGTACGGGTTCCCGTTCCTAGGAATCCGGGAACCCATTGTGGCTCGATACGAATGAAAAAAATAACCACATCTCAGCATCTTCGATTATTGGCTAATGTTTAGAAACCAATTTTCAAGCGCGTTCCCGTACCTGGGAACGCGGAACCCGGCCGGATTCCCGTTCCTGGGAACCCGGGAACCCATTGTGGTTTGATATAAACGAAGAGAATAGACAGATCTGAGTATCTTTCAATGCTGAATGATGCTCACAAACTAATTTTCAAACGCGTTCCCATTCCTAGGAAACGGAACCCGGAGGAACGGGAACACTGACACCCCTACCCACACCCACACCCACACCCACCCACACCTCACACCCACACCCACATCCACACCTACCCACACCCCCAACCCCCCCCCCCACCCACACCCACACCCACCCCCACACCCTATCCAAATGCGGGAGATTAGCTGATCTCTCAGGAAAATGAGATCAACTCTACAGAAGTTGCTTTTTGGACCAGTGGTATGCGAATAATTGGTAGGAAATGGCTTTTCTGCTCATCTCGTGGTCATCTTCTCGTCTCTCGTTATCTTGAATTTTCTGGATAAATAACATTGCTGTAATTTTTTTCCACTCGGCTATTTCATTCGAAAAAGGTAAAAAGTAACGTAAAAGGGTACGCTAGTAAAATAATGTCCTAAACAAGAAGGTACTACAAAGAAGATAGTCATTTCGTCAGAGGCGGCGGTCGAAGGGGTAGAATCTGAGAGAGAGATGAATTAGAGATAGTTAAGGCTAACTGGTGAGACGAGCTGCACATAAGAGTGTCCGTCTAGATAATAAGGAACGCAAATAATAGTGTAAAGAACAAGAAAAAAGGTAGTTTATGTCTTGGTTGAAATAGTATTAACCGACACATAACTATTTATTCAATACTATTCTTATTGGGTTTGTTTTTGTATGACACAATCGATCATATTGTCACAACGATGAATGTTGGGATGATCCGGTGGAAGTGTGCTGTGATAAATAGAAGCCGCTCTATTTAAAAAGACCAACGATTGTTGATAGTCGCTGCTCCTTAGTAAGTAAGCTACACCCATATTGCAGTAAATTGTTGCGATAGATGGATGTTCAGATGGCAACGATATTGTAAAGATACCTAATGCTCGCTCAAAATATCGAAGGGCTTGATCATAGTCATCATTAGCACAACAAACATTGCCCATATTGAGAAGTGTCATTCCAATCTCATGGTGCGTGTGTGGTAAAATTGTTTCTCGAATATTTAACGCATCCTTGTAACATTGAACTGCTTCAGTGAACCTGCATTGCCTAGTATAAATGACGCCCAAATTATGAAAGCACTTTGCAACCCATGTATTTTGATCACCAGGCAATTCTTGAAATATTTTCAATGCTTGATTATATTTATTGATGGCTTGATCGAATTCTCCTTTCGTTTGATGAATATTAGCCAGATTTTGTAGACATCTTGCAAGTCCCTGACGATCTCCCATTTGTTCATACTTTTTGAAGGACCTGTTGAACCACTGAAAACTGATCTCCAATTGTCCTTTTGCTCTTTTTACAAGTCCTATTGAACCCCAAAGGGAGGCGATCTTTGGATGATCATTTGGTAATTCATTCAACATTCGATTATAGAACTGTTCAGCTTTATCGTACATTCCTGCATTATGCAATATATGACCGAGTGAAAGACACTCATCATATGCTTCACTTTCCTTTTGCATATGTTCCAAAAGAAGTTCCATATCATGATCATAATTTCCATTACATAGTTTCATTTGAATGACAGTAATTTTATTCTCCTGATGAATGTCAACGAGGCGAAAGACGGTTGCAATCATAAACAGAATTTCTTGTTCATTTACGAATTTACTTTGTGAACTGATGTTGGCAAATGGCTTCGCGCCATAAGACGAACGAGGATCGACATCGATTTCGAATAGAACACGACAAAGATCATCATGTTCAGATGAAATAAATGAAAGAGATTTTTGTCGACAAAGACTTGTTGATAGAAATGAATTCATCGATATTAATCGTCCTTTAGATTGTTGCAAGACATCCAATTCTTGTTTTGACATTAGTTGACCTCGATAAACACGAATTGATGTTTGATCTTGTTCTCGTTGTAATTTTTCGAGCTGTTGATATAAATCTCGAATAAAGAATTGAAATAGAAACAGAACATTAATGTTCTGAACTCGTAAAGCTTTATTGAGTATTCGATAGATAAATGAATGCCGTGTATACCAATATAGAGCTTTTTCTGGAATATAAGATTCTTCGAATTCTTGTAGAATGGACAATTGTTCGTAATTGCCTTCATATTCTTTTTTGCATAAAGTGAAAAATTCACCTCGACTTATCTGACTGTAGCCGAGACGAAGTAGACCATCGATGAGAAGTTGAAAATGAAGAAAATCACCATTGATATTTGTTGATGAACGCTCTTCATTGGACATAGAATTGGAGATACTGATAGGTAGAGGTTCATCGAACAAATTTTCTCTTCTCTTTCGATCCATTTTGATCTTCTCAATTAGTTCATGTAAATCTGTAACAAATGCTCGAATTTTTGTGAATTTTGATGCCCATTCTTGGTGTTTACTTGAATTTAAACAGTAGATATAGATCGAACTGATTTGTCTCAATGAATGAATAAGAGGAACAATGACAGATCCCAATTGTCCACTGACAATCAATAGAATTTGATCATCTTCTGATTGACGAATGTAAGTTTCACTTTCAGTGCTATTTTTGAATACTCTTATATGATTAATGGCAGAGCGAAGCTGTTGCTGAGCGTTACGGTTTTCATTCGAATTCACCGAATCATCAACCCATAGAAGAGAATATGTTTCCAAATTGTCGCTTCTAATTAACACTGAGGAAACAGAAAGTACTATTGAAACATCAGCTGATGCCATTTCTAGAGTGTATTCGATATTTGATAGTAACAAAATTCCTGTGTGCTATCGTCGAAGATAATCTTTTGATAAAAAAAAAGCTTTCTTCTTTCTGTTCATATTCTATACTTGAGCTCACTCTGTGCCGCGACCGATATACTATATTGTTTAGTCAGAAGTCAGTGCGCATTATCGAGAAGAATCATATTTTTTCGAAAATAACCAGAATGTTGGAAAATGATATACGTCTTCCGACTTTAGACACAAAAATATGATTCTTGGCTTTCATACATTCGATTATTGACTTGTTGGAAACTTTCATTTTAAATAACTGTGGAAACCTTGGCTTCAAATTCCAGTGTTATGTGTACTTCAAAAAGTGAAAATAATTGACTCTCCATAATATAGGACTCAAGAGAGGGTCCCTCAGAGGACCACCCTACGTCGCCGGGGAAAAATTTTTTTTTGATTTTATTATTTTACATAAAAGGTCTCATGTAACCATTGTTAAATCTTGAGGGTGGGTGTGGGTGTGGGTGTGGGTGTGGTTGTACATTTTCCTCACACCGACACCCACACCCACAAACCTCACACCCACACCTACCCACACCCACACCTACCCACACCCACACCTACACCCCAGACCTACACCCTTCAAAGTAGATCTTATTCTTTATTATATTTCTGTATTGATGCATGACTGTGAAATATTCAGTTTTCTTCGCAGCAAAACAGCTATATAGCTTCCTAATTTTGATAAAAACCTCCTAGTTTTTCTCCTATTTTTTTTGTAAGGAACTTCCAGTTTTTGAAATTTGGATTTGGAAAACCTGCTGGAGATATTGAAACAGCAGTGAACAAAAATGAATATAACCGATAATATAACTAAGTAGCTGATTTCCAGCAAACGCGAAAATTTAAAAAACGCAAGTAGACGCAATATTGTAGGTACGTGTACATGCATGAATCATTATGACATGGCGTGCGATAACTTTCGGACACGCATGTATATGAATGGTAATAATTATAAAGAATTTCACAAAATTAAACAAGTTTTTTGAACCAATATAGTGTGGCTATAGAAGAGCAATTCCATTTTTACGAAAAATAAATAAATATACGTCGATGAAAACACTAAATTCTTGTATAGAGCAGCATGTACACTACAAAATAGTCAAATTTTGCATGTCAATGCGAAATCACTTCACTATTAAGTTTCGTAAATAGGATTCTTTTGCATTGGCATACAGGTTTCGAAGCGATCTGATCATCTTGTGGGTAGACGCAGCTGATACTTAGGCATTTCCACGCGAGTCATAGGTCTTGCATGAACATGCAAAATCAGCACATGCAAGTGTCTGCAAACAACAGAGCCATGCATGATGTCGGATGTTTTACTGAATAACTTAAAGATTTGTATTGGCATGCATGTGTTGGAGATGCATCTCTATACATGTATTGCTCACCTACATTTATACGCAAAAAATTGCAAATATTGCAAATGCCTTGCAAGACCGTGCATGCAAGAAGACGAATAAAATTGTTTTTGCAAGTAAACGCACGTTTTAAAAAACTTCTTGCAAATACACGCGTTTTTTAAACTTTCACGTTTGACTGGGTTCTCATGGTTATATAGAGCAAATTTGACATCATAACTCAAGAACAATGCACCCGTTCGAGGTAAAATTTTTACCATAGATAGACTAGAGGATAGACAGTCGACTGATGTAGGTTTCGGTTTGAAATGTCTTTGTACGAAAAAATTCACAGGGTGCACTGTTAAATGTATGAACTACCCATTTATAATACAAAAGTGAATATCAACATTTTGAGAAAAATGGATCTAGATCCCTCAGAAATAGTTTTATTTCGTTATCAAACGATTCCTTGTGAAATTTTGTACCAACAAAGTCATGAATGAATGGAAACTGACCATGATCTAAAAATGGCCCTTATGCATCCCTATCCATTTCACTACAAGCACTGCCGTATTGGTCGACGTTGTGAGGGCCTTTTCACCCCCAAGCATACGTTTTTTTTTTAATTTTTTAAAAACGCTTTTGTAGAGGAGAAGAAACTGCACAACACATATCAAATTCAGTCTGAAGTTTCATAAAATGACCGAGTGGCAGCTAAAACAATAAAAAAGTTCGTATACTTTTTTACTTAAAAAATGAGCAATCGTAGACAGCATTTAACCAATAAAATGCGTTTAGCCCATTGAAAAATAATATGCAAATAGCTCATTTTGTTCAGCTTTCGATGCTCTGTCTCTTGATATATTACACAAAGAAGTTCGTTAATTTATTGTCATCTAAAAAAACTTCACTTTATATTAAAGATTATTGATGGTATGCTCCAAGTATCCTCGTAAGTGCTCGACAGTAAAATGAGGCTAACTTTTTACTAAATCAACCCAAATGGGCTAAAATTTTCGATTTAGAGATTTTAGATGATGCTGAGCAAGATGAGAATATCAAATCAAAAAATTAAATTTTGACGAGTGCTTCGATTTTTCGATGGTCTCACGGATACTCTCTTAATGATCTCTTCCTTTCTGAGTTTTAAGAGACCTGTTTTTCGATAATAAAATATTATTTTTCATATAAAGACTTGTTCGAACATGGTCAACTGTTTTTCAATGAACTCACCGATAGAATTGCTCGCCTCACCAGTATCCAGGTTGCCAGTTAACTGACTTTTGTTTTTGATTGCGAGTAATTTTTGGTGCCATTTCATACTCGTGTCATAGTCTTGTTTTTGTGATGCGAGCTCCCCGAGATCTTCATACAAACCGCTCCGCAAAGGGTCATCTGGCGGAAGTTGTTTCAATGAACGCTTGAAGTATTTTTCGGCTAGATTGAGTTCACCCATCTTCCATAACATCTTTCCGAATGTCCGAAGATTGGTCTCTTCGCTTCTGATTTGGTCTTTCATATACATGAGAACTTCCTTAAAATCAAGTTCATCGTCATTGCACAGGGTCATTTGAACGATCCATATTTGATCATTATTGAGATCGATACTGTTCAGACGAAAAATGGAACCAAGCATGAACAGCACTTCTAATTCATCAGCAAATTTACTGCATGCGCTGATATCAGCAAATGGTTTTGTAGAGATCATCTGGGGATCGGCATCGATCTCGAATAATACTCGTGCCAAATCTATCGGTTGAGTCGTATCACCCATATAAAAAACAGCTATTGAACGTTCCTTGCTAGTCGAAAGAAATGAATTCACCGAAATGAATTGACCAACACATAGTTTAAGACCATTCAGCTCATCACTCGACATCAACTGACTTCGATAAACTCGTAAAAATCGCTTTGCTTGACGACACTGCAACTGGCGATAAATATCGAAGATATAGGCACGAAATAAAAACATCAAATGAATATTTTGTGTGCGTAGAGCCGCGTTAAGAGTTTTATAGAAGAACGATTCTCGAGTGTACCACCATAAGACTTCGTTCGATGAATAATTCTGCTCAAACTCCCTAAGATTGTTGAGCTCAATATAATTGCCTCCGTATTCATTTCTAAATCGAGTGATAAGTTCAGTTTTATCTATTTCATTGGATTTTAATCGAAGAAGACAATCAATGAGGACTTGGAAGAAAACAAATTTACCATTTACTTCTGTTGTTGATTTGCCTGCACTACGTCTTGGGGTAAAAATATTGATCGACAATGGTTCTTCTATTTTCTTTTGGATTTTATGGTTCTCTTGGATTTGAGAAATGAGTTCCTCAAGTTCAGCAACAACAGCCTTCACCTGTAAAGACGATAAAATGAAACTGAAATTCTGTAGCACAACCTCACCTTTGAAAACTTGCAAGCCCATTGTTCGTTTCCTTTCTTATCCATGCAGTAAACATAGATCGATGTAACTTGTCGGAGCTTATGTATGGAAGGCACTATTTCTCGTCCCAATCCACCACTAACAATGAGCACTAGTCTATCTTTTTTTGATCTTTGTTCAATGTACTGTTGACATTGTTGTATATCTTGAAACTTTTTGAGATGATTAATAATAGTACGCAGTTTTGGTTCTGCATTTCTAATCCCTTTGACGTTTACATTCTCATCGAGCCAAATAAGACAGAAGATTTCGAGATGATGATCATCGGTGTTTGTGTGAACATCATCATTCGGTAGAAAAGCCGTGGTCATCTTAATTGAGACAATTAAATAGTAAAAATCCTAAGTATCTTTTGTTGGATCCAATTATTGAGCATAATGTGTCTTTGTCAGCTGGAAAAGAATGTCACATTTTCACTTTTATTCTTCTATTTGTTAGTATTTTTACAATGTTTTTCTTCAATGGCGCTGAGAGGTAAGAGAATCGAGAAAGCATGTATCCTCAATGACTAAAAAAAATGGCTCACCTTTTACCTTTTTCTGATAAGATCATAAAAATAAGGTGCTGAGCTTCAACATCGACAAAAGTTACTTGTATCTGTTTCGCTGAATCAACTATCAATATTCTAAAGTAGACGATATAATGTCTCATTAACAAAGGAACATTTCCAGATGTGAGAACATTTTTCAGAT